GGAAAGAAGCTTTTTATTTTTGTGTCCCCAGTATCTGGCACTTAGTAAAAAGTGAAATTTTGTTTCCTTTTTAATTATTATCAGGACTCTGACGAGATACTGAGGCTGTGACGCAATTATATCTTTGAGCTCCTTCTGTCTTAGGGCCATACCTTCAGCCAAAACTTAAACTAACAACACCTTTGAAGTTTACTACTTGTATGACCTAGGATAACTCACTTCACCTCCTGGGCCCTCAATTTCCTCATTTGCAAAAAAAATGAGGGGATTGTAATGAATGACCTCCAAAGGAATTGAGTTATAGATGTAGGACCCTAGAAATACTCTACCAGGGTCCCATGTGGCCTCGAGGCTACAGGTTCCCCACCTTTGCTGCTCTCCTGGGGGTGGAACCAATGACCAAATTCATACTGCATTCAGCCTGCTCTCTCATTTGTAGGAAATGTCCCTCACCAAGAACAAGGAGCTCATTCTTAATGAGAGGTCCCTTTTTTTGGTACTGTTTCCATTTCATGTTAGTTTCAGTAGTTAGTTCAAAGGTTCTTCTCTTACATGTTGAAGTTTAAAGATATGAAGGGGCTCCTGAAGTTGACTCTCTATCCATACACAAATACTATGGGTGACCATATAACCACTGTATTAGACAGGGATGGAGGCAGTTACCTCTAGTTTGGGCCCTTCTACACTGAAATGTAGGAACATTTCTGATGAGCTGAATGCAGAGGCAGAAGGGTCTTTTGGGCCAGAATTTCTGGGTTTTGTAGGAAAACAAACAAACTTGAACTCTTGTAAGAGACATCACATTCTCAAATTCAACACAGTTTAACAAGGAACCCCCCCCTCCCAGCCCCAGTTCAGAAGTATTGGAAGGCTCCAGGACCTAAATGTTGACCATGAAGGAGGTAGGACCAGGGGCTAAGAATTTCATAGAAAATTTGAAACTCAGATGATGCAACTCCGTAGGAAAATAAAGTAGCTGGCTTTCTTCAGTGGATTCTGGATACAATAAGTCATGTTTGATGTTATTACAGTTTGAATTCCCTTTCTCCCAAACCTAAAACTTTACTCTTTAAAATTTGGTTTCTAGGTGATTCAGTTTATGTTTTTAAACTGAAGAGTTTTATATTAAGTTATATCACTAGCCAAAGAAATTTTAAAAACAAGAAGAAGAAATGATGAATTTCTTTGAAATTGTCACCCCTGTTCTTAGCCCTCCTCTTCTGTGCAGGATCTGAGGATCAGACTTACAGTCAGACAGGCTCATTCCATTGTAGTTCTCCATGTCATTATCTTTCAGAACTTCAGCAAAGTCATGACCAAACAAAACCAGAGACAAACCCCAGAAGAAGGAAGACCTTCATATTGTCCAAATAGTCAAAGTGCTCCAACTGCTGAGCCTGAGCTGGACTCTGATAATTAATTTCTCTCTTAACTTTATCTTCTTCCTTGTTTGAGGGCTCCATTTCCCTAGCTATATAGAAATGGAGATCTATTTATAGCCACATTTCCTCCCTTCCCCTGAAGGTAGGAGACCTGGCACATGGAAGGGCATGGCGGTTTCCCTCTTCCCCTGAAGGCTAAATGAGAGGGAGAGCAACAGTTTGTGCTTTCTGACCAGACTTGTTCAGCATCAATGGATCTGATTTACCAGCAAACAAAAGTATGGTAGAGGGATGTCCAGAGAAGTCAGTCAACAAAAAGTTAATAAACATTGCTACATGCTGCCCACAGTGCTAAGCGGGGTTTTTTTTTTAAGGGAATTGGGGCTAAGTGACTTGCCCAGGGTCGTGAGCTAGTGTCAAGTGTTTGGTCTGAGGCTGAATTTGAACTCAGGTCCTCCTGACTTCAAGGCCAGTGCTTTGTCCATTGCACCACCTAGCTGCACCCTTAAGTGACATACGTGTTAAGAGACAGAATAGGCTAAAATTCCATTGCTAATCCTAGTTCAAAGCCACCCCTTCTACTATGTTTTCTGGCATGCTTGCTCCATAGGTAAACAACTTGCCTTCATCTTAATGCCACCAGGGGTCGAGGTCATTTGCATAAGACTCTGCTGGTTGGTAGAGATTGATTCCTCAATGTTCCATGTGTGGAGTGAGGGGTAGTGTCCACAAGAGCTGGAAAGAAGAGAGATCTTGATATTTTGAATTCCAGCTTGAGAGAAGGCACATGGGTTCCAGCTACTGTTTAGGAAGAGGGCCCTGAGGGAGAGAAAGATTCTATGAAGAAGCCAACAAGAACAGATGATAAGGAATAAGCTGTTAGATAAGGAGAGATGGAGGCCTAGAGAAAGTGTGAGAGGATGATTGTTAGAGTGATCTATTGAAGAAGAGAAGGAATGGAACCCAGGCTACAAAGAAAGAGCTTGGTATTGGTAAGGAAAAGGTCTACTTTCTCATCAGAAATTGGAATAAAGAAGGAGAAAGTGAGGGAAAATGACATGGAGTTTTGAGATATGGAAAAGGGGAGAAGAAAAAGTTTGTGGTGATTGACTTCTCTTTTCTCAGTAAAGTATGAGACAAAGTACTTTACTGAAATGCAGGGAGGAGATGGTGTGGCAGGTTTGGGAAGAGAAGAGGTTTAGAAGAGGTGCTCTGGGGATTATGAAAAAGAATTTGAGAAGGGAAGGATTGCTTTACTCTAATGAGCACCCAGTTAAGATTCAATCACATATATTTGAATTGGACCCAATGAACTTGGTCAGTAATTTCCTCTAGCAATAGTATGTCTCTAGGGGTGAAAAAAACAGATGGGAGGCTGAGGGCAAAGCAATTACCCAGGGTTGAGATTTCACAAGGCATGAATAGTGATAAAATAAGGGAACAAGGTATCAGAAGCTAGAGTTGAACTGGCAGGGTTGAGATTGGGAAAGGAGGAAAATAAAGTGAGAGCAAGTTTGAGAGCTTGTAGAACACTAAGAGAAGGAGGGACTGGAGATCCCAGTGAAGGGAAAGAAGGTTTGCCTTCCCTATATTCTCCTCTTTCCAAATCAGGACATTTGCTCTTCCTCAGTACTGTGTCTACTCTTCTGTTCTGCACAATCTTTCAAAAATCATTGGTGTAGTTATCACATTTAATTCAACAATTTGACAAGCATTTATTCGACATCTCCTATGGTAATAAAGTACAAGGAAGGATGGAAAGAGAATTGATCACATTTAGATAGACACATTTTAGAGGTTTTTCCCCAAAGAATATTGTATTATTATCTTTTGTTTTTGCATTATTTCTCAATATAGCTCCTCTTCATTCCCCCTTCCAGATAGCCATTGGGTTAATAGATAACTTGGAGTATCTACATAGAGGGATCAATGAGCACAGAGTAACCTTTAAAGGAGGAGATTCGTGGAGTGATGGCAGAAGGAGGGTCTGAAATTGGCAATGTTTAATAAGGAGTATGCCTCCTTCTGGTCTAGTGTGGGGAGTATATGAGAAGGTGCATCCAGTAGGAGGGAGGAAGGCCAGGGATGCAGTATCTTCTGGGAGTTCTCTGTGACTCCTAGAACATGGAAAGAACAGGAGGAGTAAAGGTGTAAGATGAAGGGAAGTTTGTGAATGATGAAATGAAAGAAAATTCAGAAGGAACTAGGAAATAGCTGAGAGAGCTGGATTGGGGGTTGAGATGGGGCATCCTGGGGCAGGTAAGAATGAGAGAGTGGGGACAGGTAGCAGGGGAGAGGGTGACTTTTATTAGACAGCTAGAGATTCTCTGTAACTGAGATTGGGAGTGGAGGAGGTAGGAGCTGGCAAGTCATAGAGGTGGGGATGTATTTCCTGGGACTCTTGCCTTTAAGAGCTTGTGGATGGCTAAGAGTAAAGCCTGTTGTCTTTGAAGTACTAGGAAAGAAGTGATATTTAGCTCAGTGCTAGCAGCCCATAAGTGAGGTACTAACAGTGAGAGATTGGGCATCTGAGCCTTTCACCCTGATCCCTCAAGTAGAGGCCTGTTGCTGAAGGCTATGATCCTGTCAGTAAGGAATTTAGCTCTTTAGCCTATCAAATTTTTAGAGAATACAAAGCTGAGAAGAATAGATATAATATTGAATGATTGAATGAGGATCAAAAGGTCTTAGGAGCCTAGAATATTAGTTTTTGAGTTCAATTATTTCTTATTCTTCCTTTCCTCATCTGTTCCATTCATAAGGTTTGCAATGTATATATCTGTACCTATATCTATATTTGTATCTTTATCTAAATCTATATTAATATCTATATCTACCTATTTATTCATTGTTTGGACCTTACAAAGTTTGCTTTTCTACTTTGTGACCAGTAGCAAACAGTTTTGATGATTTCTATTTTGTAATATAGTTGGAGGTCTGTACATACTTTTCTTTCTTCATTCCTACCACTTAAAAATTATTTTCCTTGACATTCTAGATTATTTTCTTTCACCCAATTAATTTTGTTATTATTTTGTCTGTATCTGTAAATCATCCCTTAGATATTCTGATTGATATTTGACCATATCCGTATGTTGTTAGGTATATTTTCATTTTTATTAACTAGGCATGGCCCAGACATGGGCGCTGAGTATTTCTCTAGAATAACAACATTTCTAAGAAGAAATTTGAGGGAAAAGGTCATAATTTGGTGTATATGTGCATATAAAAGTATCTATGTGTATATCTCTATTAATTTCATTCAGATGTAATTCTTAAATATTATCAGTCTCTTCTTTTCATACTTTGCATTGTGTAATTGCCTAATAAAGATTCTCCTTTTTAGTGTTTTAAATGGAATTCTGCAGAGATAGAGGTGAGAGCCAGTGCCAGGTCAGGGTTTCACCTTCTACACATTCACTTTAAGACGTGACCTCTGAGAACATGTTTTGTTTTTTTTTTCCTAGAGCTGTAGAATTTCAGTATTCGTAACACTAAATTGTCTCTTCAGAGCCAAACCTGAATATCATGGAGGTTTCAGTTTGAGCTTTCTGAGAAATCTAAAAAATATAGCCAGGCAGTAAATCATTATTACACACTAAATATTTTGAAAACTAGTTGCTTCAAGTATCCCGATTTTATTTGAGAAAATGATCACTTAAGAGAGAAAAATTTAATATTTGATTTGAAAAAGCTCCTTTATAGGCACAGGAATCACGATGAGTTCAGCTAAAGGTAGCAGGTTACAGATTGCAACCTTCGAGATATTTGGAAACATCTTTTCCTTTGCACTTGTTTCGCCAGGCCACCCTGTAGAGAAAGGGAGATGAAACAATGAAACAGTGAGCAAAACCATCCTTGGATAAATGTTGATGTTTGATACTCATGAATATGGAGACATTATCTAGAAATGCAAATATCTATTTCAAGACACACAAAAAAACTGTAAAAAATAAATGATTTTAATCGAAGTCACACTTTAGGCCTTGGTTTTTTCATTTTTAAAAAGAGGATTGGGCTATTGGATTTCAAAGATTTCTACCAGGTCTGAAACTTCTGTGATTCTTAGTGTTGAAGCAACCAATAAATGAATCCACTATTCTATGTTTTGAACAAATTAGACTCCTCACTATTTCCTGTTCTTGCCCCAATATCTACCATTTTTATGATTTTGATGGTGTTCCCTATGCATAGAGTGTGCACTCCCTGTTGCCCTGCATTTTTACCACATAAAACCCCCCCCTTTCCTTCAAGGCTCATCCTGTGTCACCTCCTTCCTGAAACTTCACAAGATTCATCCAAGTGAATGTGATCTCTCTTTTCAAATTTCAACTAATATGTTTTCTGCATGTCTCCTCTACACCTAACACATTTAGCCTTGTTTCATTACCGTGTGAATACTTATCTTTTCCTTCCTATTTGGTTGTAAGCTTCTTGGAGCTCATCTCAGGCATCTAATACTTGCCTTTTGTTACTGAAATGAATTTTGCAAACAGTATCTACTGAACACCTTAACCAGTGCAAAAGAAATCAATTAAAAACATATTAATAGGACTTGGAGGAGCTTTCCTCCACCCTACCCAACATCAGCTCTTATTATTAGAGAGGATACCACAGTCCTCCCTTTGACCCAGACTTTCAACCTAGAAGTGATTGCTGACCCCTCACTCCCACTCATTCCTCATATCTAATCAGTGGCCAAGTCGTGTGTTTTTTACCCTAGTAATATTTCTCATGTGTGCTCTCTTCTCTATTCTGACAGTTCCATCATTTGCTGCAGGTTCTTATTACCTCACACCTGGATTATAATGACAGCCTTTTGGTTGGTCTTCATCCCCTGAGTTTCTCCCCATTCCAGTCCATCCTTCATTCAACTGTCAAAAAGGTCTTCCAAACACATAGATCTCACCATGTCACTTTAATTTAATTATTTATTGTTAATTTGTGGGTTTTTTCTGCATTGAAATTTTGATGATACAATATTGTGGTCATGTAACTGTATAGTATTGTATTGTAAACAAATCATCATATGCTAATATTCCTCCTGATGCATGCTGGACTTCTCAACAACACAGACATTCTTGCCTGCCAACACTTGCTTGTTAAGACCTGTTGGCGGACTTGACCACTGATCAGTTATAACTTGCGTTTTGTATGTTTATTTGGAAAACAATATAATCACTACATTACACAACAGATGAAACATGTATGAATGTTTTTTCAAAATTCTCTTCTCTTCTCTTCTTTCATTATGTTACTACCACTCCCTTTTTCAATGCCTCTCAAGGCACCTGAGACTAACTACTGCCGTCCCCCTTGGATCATTCCAGCACCCGTCAGAGGGTGGTATCAACTACTTTGGGAACCTATGAGTGAGAGAGAAAGTAGATTCTCTTTTGATCATGATCCTTAGATGGAGAGGGAATGCTCTTACCATTGTTCCTTTCCTATGAGTGTGACTGGGATTCTCCCCAGCTGCACACCCGCAAATATGACAGGTAACCATTAGGAAATGATAAGAGACAAATAAATAGGGCTAGGTCTTAATTGCTTTATTCTATAAAAAATAATGTCCATAATCATAATATTCTAAGTCTCTGAATCAATGAATGCTGTGGTCAGTGAACTGGGAAGACAAAACTCAAAACTTTAGGGGCTCATGAAGGCCACAGACCTCATGTTTTAATATTTTGAACAATATTTCATTTCAGAACCTGTTTTGAACCCTACCAGCTTGAGCTTAATACTAGCTGCTTTGTGATGAGAGCATAGTCAGAACATGACTGGAGTGGGGGAAGAGTAGCCTCAACATCTTCTGGCTGAGCACCCTCTGGTGACCAGAATGCATACTGCAATCTCTTGGGGAAGGGTTATATCCAGTAGAGCCCAGAAAAGGATTTACAAGATCACTTGATTGCTGGTTCAAGTAGAGAGCCTCCTAGTGGGCAATCCCAACATTGTCCTTTATTGCTAGATAATTATTATAGTGATGTATTGTCCTTCTGTAGAATTAGGAAAGCAGCACCACACAACCCTAGGTTTCTTATTAGGAGAAGTTGTCTTATAGAATATTGTTAAAAAATGATTGCTAATATAAATATGACCTATCAGCCTAAGTTGCTGCTATGTAATATACAACAGAATGAACTTAATTTTGTCTTTGGACATTCTCTCTCCCTGAACATGCCCATCATGTAAAGAAATTAATTATTCTTTGTAGTGAAGGAAAACATACCATGCACCAATGCCTTGTTCATCTACGATCTTCTTTGCACACTGTATTGCTTTATCAAGGGTATCGTCCTGAACTTCTGAAACAGAAATGATAGAAGACATAAGCAAGTTTCAAGTTCATTTAATCTAAAAGAACCAATCCTCCTTGTTAAGGTAGAAGAAACAGTATTGTACAGTAATTCTCCTAAATTTTAGATAAATGGGGCTTCAGTAGAGAGGCATGTTCTCTTTTTCATCTTCTTCCAGACCTAAGTGGAACACAGCACTTTAACCAAGGTGACTCAAATTTCTATATCACTTTAAAATTCACAGAGTGCTTTTCTCTCCACTACCCTATGAAGCACACAGTTATCCTGATTTGTCAGTTGAGAAAATGGAGATTCAGGAAATGTGATTTGTCCATGGTAACACAAATAGTCAATGTTAATGTCAGAACGTAAAGCCAAGTTTCTTGACTCCAAACCCAGGGTGCAGGGTGCATGACAGCAGGTTGAAAGTTATCTATTTAAAGAAATCAGGAACAAAGTCAGGCATGCATGGAAATACTTTTTCATTATTTTTTTCCTTTCAAATTAAAAAAAGGCCATGATTCTTGTCTTTTCTTCTTTGTTCTTTCTTTGTTAATTCATCCTTAAAACAAGCTAAGAAGAGGTGAATACTAGGAAGCTGTCTAAGGTGAAGTGACTTGTACAGAATCACTCAGCTGTTAGCTGAGGACTTATTTAAATGCACGTCTTCTTGTCACCATTTCGAGCCCTCTAGCCACTGCACCAAGTTGACTGACCACAGAGAAGGCCAGCTTGGAAAAAAACTCACTTGGGTCACTGGTCACAGAAAGCAGTCAGGACTAGAAGTAGCATACCTACACCTCCCAGGCACAGCTTCTGGAGCTAAAATACCCAGGTTCAAATCTCACTTTGGACACTTCCTCCTTTTCTATGAACTAGGACAAATCACTTTACTCCCCTGGACCTTGCTTTAACCATCTGTGAAGAGAGGGTGAAGGACTAGGTGGCTTCTGAGATCTCCTTTCCATCTACGATCCTATGATGTGGACTAATAGGATCGGCCTGAATTGGTGAAAATTTCCATTACAGGCATTCCCTAGCCTAAGTCCATCTATTGGGGGAAGCTTGTTTAGGCAGCTTCCCTTCCCTTCCCTTCCCTTCCCTTCCCTTCCCTTCCCTTCCCTTCCCTTCCCTTCCCTTCCCTTCCCTTCCCTTCCCTTCCTTCCCTTCCTTCCCTTCCCTTCCCTTCCCTAAAATGAAAGGAAAATTGGAAGAATTGTGGCCATTGCTCTTGACTGATCATGTACCAGGCAACAGGACTGAGAAATCATACCGTCCTAAGAAGACATAGCCTTTTTTTTTTTGGCTTGGTAGTAATGAGATAAGGACTAGAATGTTAATTAGAAACTAGGAATTTCTTATTGGCCTTCTAAAGCTTCCCTGGTGTAACTTTTTAAACTTCTTGGCTATCTACCTTGTTGTGCAGGGTCATTGTACCCTAAGTCCATGAGGTTACTCTTACCTGAGCAATGGACTCCACACTTATTGAATGAGTTTGGTGTCTTGCCATCATTGCACCAGTAGTGACTGTTGATCTGAAATATCCCATAATCAGTGCTTTGATCTCTAGGGTTGTAGTTTGTAGCTTTGGTGTTAAAATTGCTCTCCCACCGTGCCAAGCACACCCCTGTGAAGAATTTATTTTAGTAATGATTACTTCATGTCCAATCAATTATCCAGGAAAACCAATACTCTTGAATTGATGTAATCTTCCTTTATCACTGATATAGTCTACAGATGGTGCAGTGGATAAATTGTAGGTCCTGGAGTCAGGAGGACCTGAGTTTGAAACTGACCTCAGGCTCTTGCTAGATGGGTGACCCTGGGCAAGTTACTAAATCATGTTTGCCCCACCTCACCTGCAAAAAATAATGAGCTGGAGAAGAAAATGGCAAATTGAGTCAGATATAATTGATACAACTCAAGAACAAAGCATTACTTTTGCTGGAGTGAGCTGATGGTTAAGTTTTCAGTATGAGTCTTTATAGTCATAAATAGGCAAACACCCAGAGACATGGAAAGAACAAGAACAAATCCTACATTTCTTTGAAAACGTCACCCACATTCTTAGCCCTCCTTTCCTAGTCATTGCAGAGAACCACAGGAAATCAGACTTACAGTTAGCCAGGCTGATACCATGGTACCCATCCAGGTATGGCTTTATTCTTCTCGCAAAGTCACATCTTTCTAGCTTCCTACCATGGACTGTCATGGAGAGGAAGATGAACCCCAGAAGAAAGAGTACCTTCATGTCGCCTGAGTAATCAAACTGCTCAAAGTGCCCAGGCTGAGATGTGCCCTAGTATTTAACTTCTCTCTTAAATTCCTCTTCCTTGCTGTTTAAGGGTTCTACGCCCTAGCTAGGCAGAAATCAAGATCTATATATTGCTACATTTCACCACTTCCTCTGCAGGCAAAAGAACTAACACATAGCAGTGGCATGGTAATTCCTCCTTTATCCCAAAGGCCAGTAAGGGTAAGGAGAAGGGGACAGATCCTGTTTTCCTGGTGTTACACCAGACTTACCAAACCTTAATTGAACTTATTTACTAGTGAATCAAAGCATAACATAGATTACAGAATTTCAGAGGTGGAATGGAGTCCAACCCATTCCCAATCTATGTTGAAGTGGAATCTTCTCTGCAGCATAAGGGATGAAGAGTCATACAACCTCAGCTGGAATCCAAAATCTATTTACATTTTAGCAAGTTTGAAATTTTTATTTACTTCATTTGAGATAATGTATGCAAACTAATTCTTAGACTATAATCCCTATATAAATATCAGTAATTATTATGACTAATGGGGAAGAACTGAAGCATGGATATTGCAAAATGGAAAATTATTTAATAATTACTTTATGTTTGGCTTTAAAATGTTTTAAATATACAAATGAGGGGCATCAGGAAGGGATAGATTCAGTTTTTCAGTCACTGTGGAAACTGCAGAGCTAGGAGCAATGCATGGAAATCACAAAATGATAGATTTTAGTTAAGGGAAAAGGTTGCTAATAATTAGAGCTGTCCAAAAGTAGAATGAGCGACTCCAATAAACTCACTATCCTATTCATTATAGTTTGTATTATTGAAAGAGAAATTCTTCATTTGCGCTTTCATCCTGATTAAGGAGGTAAAACGAAGGGCAAAGAGAATTAAAGTTTATTACAAACAGGGCAAAGTAGCAACGCATCACTGGAGATCAATGATGGCTTCAAGGTTAGGGAAGTTTTTATTGGGAACTTTCATAATGAGTAAAGACAATTCATATAGGTCAATGTCAGCAAAAGAGGTTGTGTCTTTGCATCACAAGTAATGCAAAAACTGCAGACTTGACTTCTTTTTGCCTTTCCCAACAGAGCCTCCCTCAACCTTGATTAACAAGTTGGGCTGGGAACAACGGGTCACTGAGTCAACATAACTTTCAATGATATATACCCCATTCTGTCTTCTAATACTGTCATCCCTGTGGTACAGACCCTCATCATCTCACACCTGAACTATTCTTAAATGTTTGTGTCCCTGCCTCTTGTCTCTCCCCACTCCAGTCCACCCTACACTTATCTTTCAAATTAATCTTCTTAAAGCACAGGTCTGACCATGTCACCTCACTCCAACCCCATTCAATAAACCCAGTGGCTCCCTACAATTTCTAATATCAAATATAAAATCCTCTGCTCAGTATTCAAAGCCCTTTCACAACCTGGCTCCTTCCTAATTTTCCAGCTGTTTTGCACTTTACCCCATTTTTCTGTGATTCACTTCCATTTGCCTCTGCTCTTCCTTCAACAAGACACTCTATCTCTTGACTCTGGGCATTTTCAATGGCCATCCCCCACATCTGCAATGCTCTCCATGATTATCTCCACCTCTCGGCTTCCTTCAAGCTGGAGATAACATTCCACCTTCTACAGGATGCTTTTCTTGACCTCTCTGAAAGCTATTGCCTTTCCTCTCTCTGTTATTTCCAATTTATCCTGTATAGCTTCTTTGTACATAGGTGTTTACATGCTGTCTACCCTTTTAGGCTTTGAGATCCTTCAGAACAGAGACTCTCTTTTGCTCAGTATTTGCACAATGCCTGGCCTTTAGTAGGTGCTTAATAAATGTTTGTTGACCAACTGGCTAAGACTTGGTCAGGAAGTAATGAGCTTTTCAGGCAGTGAGGTCTCAGAGAGGATAGAGTGCCAGGTCTGCAGTCAGAAAGACCCATCTTCCTGAATTTGAATCTGGCCTCAGAGACTTGCTAGCTCTGTGATCCTGGGCAAGTGACTAAATCCCATTTACCTCATTTCCTCATCTGTAATGCGAGCTGGAGGAGGAAATGCAAACTATTCCAGTATTTTTGCCAAGAAAACCCCAAAGGTGCTCAGGAACAGTCAGAAATGACCAAAATGTCTGAATAGCAAAAATGAGACCTCAGTAACAGAAGGCAGAGGCTGCATGACCACTTCTCTGGAATATTGTTGAAGGGAAGGGAATCTGTTCAGGCATAGATCCCTTTCAGTTCCCATTAACTTTATTATCTTGTCCATATCTCTTCATTGTGTCCAGAAGGATGCCATGAAGCACTTTGTCAAATGCATTGTCTAAATTCCTAAACTCTATGTATGTGGCATTCTCTTGAGCAAAAACAGATGGACCAAAACATGTGGTTAATTTGGTATGGATTGCTCTTAATGAACCCATGATGAATCCTAGCCATTACCATCTCCTTTTCTGAGTGCTCACAAACCATCATTTCAATGACCTGTTCTAGAATTTGGGGATGAGTGTATAAGGTATAAGAGGACTGGAAAGGGGGGAAGAGGAGACCATGAAGAGATTGGAGAGGTTTAGTCACCAAACAGAGGGTGATTAAAAATTTGAAAAAGCTAGCTATTAAAGCCAGAAGCAAGAGGAGGAGTTGGGGGATGAATATGATACCATGGAAACACTTGTAAGAATGGTGTCAAGAGTACGGATCAGAGGGAGCTAAGGTGGGGGTTGAAATAAAGTACTACAAAAAGGGATTTCAAAGCAGTATACCACTTCTACCCAGGCAGGTAGGCAGTCCTCTGAAGGACAACCTTGTGAGGCTGAGTACATTGGCCAAGAGAGCTTTGAGCCTGTGACATTGAATATAAGCATCCATGAGGGACATGGGACTTCAGCTTTCAGAGAGTGAAGCAGGGATCCTAGCCAAGATCCCACATGGAACCTATATAGACCCAGGTGTGGACAAAAGTGCCAGCAACACCCCAGTTGATTTTCTGAGAAAAGGAGAAGCTACATCAATTTTCAATTTTTAAAGTAGAGTTTCTCTTTTTCCTGTGAATTATAATTCTTTCTCTCTTGAATTTCTATTGAGGGATGAATGAGGAACCCCTGTGGAATTAGAATAGGTGGACAGCAGCAACTGCTATATTATGGTTCAGCCCAGCAGACGGGGCAGTGTTCACACTGCAGGCGTGGTAGAACCTGGCAGGAGACTGGACCTGGCAGAAGGGGACATTAACAGCACTCAGGCCTCCTCATTGTTGTAGTTCTCAGGTCCCAGTAATGGGATGGCCTAGCTATTTGTCAGGTCCTAGAACAGGGGTCACTGTTGAGACTCCAAAAAGCCTCCAGGGCCTATAGCATCACTCAACCCAAAACGGGCACAGTGGTGTTAAAAACAGTAGGGCAGTGCTTAAGCCCTGGCAAAGGGAGGAGGTTCCAGGCACCAGCTGTGGCAGGGCCCATAGCAGTGCTTGGCCAGGTACAGTTGGTAGAAGCATGATTATAAGCAATGGGAGACTCTTTGTCATTGCTTTACTGACATAGAGAGAAAGATCTCAGGCCAAAGAAGGAAAGAAGGAAGAGGGAAAGGAATATTCTTTACATTAATGACTTGTCCAGGGTCAACAGTTACAAAGTGTCTGAAGCTGGATTTGAACTTATTTATTTCTGACTCTAGGCCCTGAACTGTTTCTACCTCACCGTCTGGTGCCTGTGGATTTAGGGAACTTTGCTAGGTAAGCATAATGCAGTAGTAGGAACATTACTTGGACTCAGCAAAATGGGCAGTGAGGAACCTAGTGGCAATTGGAAATGGTGGGGGTTCCCAGGGCAGCCCGCAGTGGAATGGCCCATGTCCCAGGCCCCAGTGGTAGCAGAGTAAGCAGCCATGCAGGCCTCAGGGGAATGGCCATTGCCATAGACATTGTTTATTGTAATCTAGAACTGACGGGACCCTTCCCTACTGCTGCTATTGCAGTATCCATTGGACAGCTCTTTCCTAGGAAGGGCTTAGAGGATCAAGGAGTGGCTGTTGGGAGGTAGCTTACTTTCTGGTGATGGCAGGGAATGGAGGATATTGATTCAGCCTGCCATGAATAATGGAGGCAGTCTCTCCCTCAGCTGAGGTCTCTAAAAGGGTAAAGATTTAGTTGTTCATATGCCCAAAGGGCTATAAAACTGTCCATACCCTTTGACCCAGCAATACCATCATAAAATCATAAATAAATAAAATCAAAAAAATATGGAAAGGACCCATATGTACAAAAATGTTTATAGCAGCTCTTTCTGTGGTGGCCAAGAATTAGGAATTGAGGGGATGCCCAGCAGTTGGGGAATGGCTGAAAAAGTTGTGGTATATGAATATAATGGAATACTCTTGTGCTATAAGGAATGACAAGCAGGCTGACTTCAGAACAAACTGGAAAGACTTACATGAACAGATGCTGAGTGAAACGAGCAGAACCAAAAGAACATTGTACACAGTAACAGCCACAATGTGAGATTATCGACTCTGATAGACTTATCTCTTCTTAGCAATGCAAGGATCCAAGACAACTCCAAAGAACTCATGATGGAAAATGCTGTCCACATCCAGAAAAAGAGCTATAGTGTCTGAATGCAGATCGAAGTATATTATTTGCTCTCTGTTTTTTCTGTCTTTTTTTTTGTTTGTTTCTTCTTTCTCATAGTTTCTCCCTTTGGTTCTAATTCTTCTTTACAGTATGAGTAATGTGAAAATAAGTTCAATATGAATGTATATGTAGAGCCTATATCATATTGTGTGCTGTCTTGGGGTGGGAGTAGGGAAGAGATGGGAAGAAAAGTTGGAATGAATATGTTACAAAAGTGAAAGTTGAAAACTAAAAATAAATAAGTAAACTTAAAAAATTTTTAAAAAAGAGTTGAGCCAAGGGATTTCCACTTTAATCCAAAGGAAAAAAGAAATCCAACTGGGATTTAATATAAACTGGGATTTAATATGTTCATATATTATATATATGAAGATATAAATATATATTAATTATATATATGTATATTATATGTAATACTTGCACAATCATGTTAAACATATTTCCACATTCATCATGATGTAAAGAAGAATCAGA